AAAGGTGTATTTTATGCGTCTGGTATGCTAGTGATCTGTACCATGAATTTAAATTGCAAGCATTACTTTTCTCCAGTCTTTGGGGATTAGCTTTAGATGCCATAAGTAAGTCATTTGGATAACTGTATGCCTACTTTTGCATGGAAGAGTTATTTGAATGCTGTCCTTTGAAAAAAGTCTTAGGCTGCTATCAGTGTGACTAGGAGATTTATTAATAAACTCAGTTTAAAATGCAGCAGTCATTTTTTTCCTTTTTAGTTCAGCATAGTGACTATATGTTGATGGTTGGTGGATGGGAATGTAAAAGTTTATATTTATGGGAAAAGCAGATAATTTCATTTATATTTGTTATTCTCTACTTCAGTATTTGTCAGACTTTTTTCAGTGCTAGGGTTTGAACTCAGGGCCTCGTGCTTGCTTACTTTGCTTGCTCTGCTAACACTCTTATCACTTGAGCAACACTTCCAACCCAGCTTTTGGCTGCTTATTTTGGAGATGGAGTCTCACAGACTTTTCTTCGAGAGCTGGCCCTAAACTGTACTTCTGTGGATCTCAGCCTTCTGAGTACAATTACAGATGTGAACCACCGGTGCTTAAGCAAACCTTGGTTTGGTTGACTTTGATTGGCTTTTGACTAGTATTTGTACAAAAAGAAAAAAAAAAGGAAAAGGAAAAAAAGAAAAGGAAAACATGAAGTAAACTATTGTATGTCAATGGGAAGTAGTTTTGCTGTGGATCATAGTTAAAAGGTTTAAAATCCAGTTTCTAACTGTACATCTGGGTGCATCTGCTCTGCCTGTGGTAAATGGTAGGCTTCCTGTGTTGAAGATGAATCTGGAGCTGAGATTTGCGAGTGCTAGGAGCAAAGCATTGTGCATGACTGTTATTGCAATATATATAGTTTTTTTGGGGGGGGGTTCTGGTCGTGGGGCCTGAACTCTGGGCCTGGGTGCTGTCCCTCAGCTCTTCAGCTCAAGGCTAGCACTCTACCATTTGAGCCACAGCGCCACTTCGGCTTTTTTCTTTTTGCTTATGTGGTGCTGAGGAATCGAACCCAGGGCCTTGAGCATGCAAGGCAAGTGCTCTACTACTGAGCCACCTTCCCAGCCCGCAATATATATAGTTTTATTGCAGCAAATCACACACTATAGGAAAAAGTGGCCCAGTGCCCGAAGCCAAAGGCATGGGAAGGATAGAGATGGTGAAAGGTAGGGTTGCAGCACATGTCCGTAAGCTGCGTGCATGTACATTTGTGTTTGGGAAGCAGGCACTATCTAATTGTTCTTAGCCTACTCTTGGAGGAAAGTACCTACGTAGCTTAAAATAGTCTAAGTCTTAAAATAATATAAGCCAACATGAAATTAGTCTTAGGTGCTGTTGCATAGTGGTACTGAGGCTTGAGTTTGTATCCCTGTTTCCACTAGCAGTTTGACCCTGAGCATATTTCTTTAGTATTCTATGCTTTGCTTTTTACATAAAGTAGAGATAATAAAAGCTATCCCACAAAGTTGTAAAAATTAAATGATCTGTTTCATATAACTATTAAAAACAATGTGTGGTATATGATTAATACTCCAGAAAATCTAGTTGCTATTATTAGTCTAGAACTAGTTAGTGTCTGACCTCTCCACAGGAAAGATTATTTTAATTCTGATTAAATGAGGTCCAGTCAAGGAGGTAAATAAGTATCTTGGGCTCCATCATCGGAATAATAGGTGACAGAGGTGGAATTTGACTCTAGATCTTTCTAACCTCAGAATGTATTAAGGTCATGGAATTTCTCTACTAAGCCACTCTGAAGGAAAGTGATCTTCTTTCCAGTCTCTCTTTTATTAATGTTCCCAGCCAGAGGATGTACAATTAGACAGTAGACGGCAGTCAGTGACCTGATCGTCAGGCCTCCAGAAAAGTTTCTGATTTTCTTTTTCTTAATTTTGTGAGTACTTCTTGATGCATACTTTCTTATTATCTAAGATCTGAGATCTGGATTACAGGAGCTATCATTATTTGAAGGTTCCATTTAAAAATTTATCTTTATGCTAGGGATGAATCTATCCAGCAAGTAGAGTTTTGATTGGTCTAGATAGAGTCATATCTTGCTACTTCTCCTTGTTCTTTCCTAGGGGTAGGTATTAAACCATCCCAGGCTTGACTCGTGCTAGCCAAGTGTTTTACCACTGAGCTACATACACTGTTTGCACAGGTCCCTTTTTTCTTTTTGCCTGGGGGAATAATTTCAGAGACTCCCCACCCTCACCAAGACTGTAGCTATGTGGGAATAAATGTTTCCGTAAAATAATTGAGATATGGGGCTGGGAAGGTGGCTCAGTGGTAGAGTGCTTGCCTTGCATGCATGAGGCCCTGGGTTCGATTCCTCAGCACCACATAAGCAAAAAGAAAAAAAGCCGGAAGTGGGCTGTGGCTCAAGTGGTAGAGCACTAGCCTTGAAGTGAGGAGCTGAGGGACAGCGCCCAGGCCCAGAGTTCAGGCCCCACGACCGGACCCCCAAAAAAAAAAATAATTGAGATATGTTGCAGAAAGAAGAAAAAGAATTACTAAGTGAACAAAACCAATAATGGCCCATTACACAAATAACAGCTCTAATCTGGGTATAATTAGAGGATAATTTGGTTATTTTAAGTTTGAGGATATACCAGTTTACTAGTATTGAATATCTGGAATGAGGTTGGGAAAAAATTAAGAACAAGAGCCAGGTGCTGGGTGGGTCATGCCTGTAATCCTAGCTACTCAGAAGGCTGAGATCTGAGGATCAGGGTTCAAAGCCAGCCTGGGCAGGAAAGTCTATGAGACTCCAGTTAACCACTAGAAAACCGGAAGTGGCCCTGTGGCTCAAGTGGTAGAGTGCTCAGGCCCAGAGTTTAAGCCCCATGACAGATCCCCCCCCCCAAAAAATATTAAGAACAAGAACAACAAAATTAAAAATTCTTGGAAAGGAAATTGACCAAGCAAATATACATATTTCAGGTGCTGCTTATAATGGCAAATTAGTTTTAGTTAAATTATAATTTTATGTAAAGCTTATAACTTTTATAATAAGTTATACAAATACAGTTAGTAACCTGAAGTCACCAAAAATGATGTATATGAAATGTTCATTTAGTGACATTAACTAGCTTGTAGAATGTATAACGGAAAAATTAAAATAACAAGTGTGCTAGTATGGTAAAAATGTGAAGCCAATGAATTGCCAGTTTAACTCTCTTTATTGTAACTTTCTTATTACCCTGTTCTCTCTCCTCCCTCAGTATACTTCATGTAGCTAAGGAAAATTTAATTCTTTATCTGGCTTGTTGCTGAAAGTCTAAGCCCTTTTACTTGGATTTTTGAAACTCAACTAAAAAGTACATGTTTTCATGGTTTTGTCTTTTGAATGGTTTCATATTATGCCTTAATTTGAAACATTATATTCTGCATTGCATTTCTTTTTGTTTGCTATTTGTCAAGACAAATTCAAGCCTTTATTTGTGTATTCAGAAAGTATTCTACTACATTTCTATTTCTGTCTTCACTGAGGACTAAATGAGGGCTGCACCTGTGTTGACAAATGAGAAGACCAGGGAACATCTTGTCATCTTAAGTGAAGAAAATCCACCTGTAAGAAGAGTTGTAATCACAAAGGAAAAGTGTTTCTCGGAAGCAGTGGTTTGACCACTTTATTTCATCTTGCAGACCTCTTCATGTTCGAGGGCTTCCTTCATGTATCAAAAAAACCATATTATTATTTACTAATGAACAGAACTTTAGAAATATTAGTCTGGAAAAGAACGAAGATGTGCTTTTTATGTATGCTTTTGGCAATTTGTTGGCCTCATAAAAATGATATTGGTTTTTATTTTTCAACTACCAGCTTCCCAAAAGAGATATAGTTGTTTCTTTTGTTTATCTTTATGCTGCAAGTAGTTTGGAAATTCACCAGTGTTACTGGGAAAAGTGATATCATGGGCTGGGTACATAGCTCAAGCCGTAGAGAGTACCTGATTAACATGGGCAAGGTCCTAGGTTCAACCCCTAGTATTAAAAGGAAGAAAGTGACAGTGTATATTTGATTTGTATTTCTTTTTTTTCTTTTTTTTGTCGGTCGTGGGGCTTGAACTCTGGGCTTGGGCGCTGTCCCTCAGCTCTTCAGCTCAAGGTGAGCGCTCTACCACTTGAGCCACAGCACCACTTCCAATTTTCTAGTTGGTTTATTGGAGGTAAGAGTCTCACGGACTTTCCTGCCTGGGCTGGCCTTGAACCTCGATCCTCAGATCTCAGCCTCCTGAGTAGCTAGGATTAGAGGCGTGAGCCACCAGCACCTGGCTTTTGTATTTCTTTATATGTTAGATTGAAGTTATTTTCTTACTTAAACTCCATCCATATTTTTCTTGACTTATCATTCAACAGCCTTTGTAGAACCTCCTATAAGTCTGTTTATTCATACACTATATAGTGAACATGTGCGAAAAGCTTATTTAGCTCCCAGGAGAGAGCAAGTCTGATGACAAAGCTGATTTAAAGGACAACGTGTGAGTCTGAAATGTACAATCTGTGAAGGAAAGACATTTCTTACGAGGCACCCACACACTTCTGAGAGTTGTGGTTTACCTTAACAACTTTCCTGTGAGACAGATTCTTTTTTCACTTACTGGAGGAAAAAACATCCTCTTTTTCAATTTATCAATCATCTACAAGTTGTTTTTTAACTTTACTGACTCTATCCCTTTGTAAAGTGGTAAGTCACACAAAATTATCTTCTCAGAATATCAGGTCCTCACCTGCAGTTAGGCAGGCTGCTTGTTGATAACTATAACACAACTTTGAAAGGACATTCACTTTTTCCTTAGTGCTAAGTGTTGGATCAGTTTTCTTCACATTTCTTCTATTTTGAAATTATTTCAAGTGATAATTATTTCCACATGACTTACCAGTGAACTTCTCAGAAAGAAAACTTATTGTTGTCTTTTATAAAATACAGTCACTTTTCCTCTTTTGCTCTGCAGGAACTCACTATACAATGACAAATGGAGGTAGCATTAATAGTTCCACTCACTTACTGGACCTTTTGGATGAGCCAATTCCAGGTGTTGGTACATACGATGACTTCCACACTATTGACTGGGTGCGAGAGAAATGTAAAGATAGAGAAAGGCACAGGCGGGTAAGTGTTTGAGTACCTTTTGTTACACATTCTATATGTTGAAAAATGTGTGTATGCGTTTTTCATTTCATAGTTTATTCTTCAATTTTTATCCTTGTTAAACAGCATACTTTTAGCCATATTGCTTTTGTCCTTCATAACACTGCATGTATCTTATTCTTTTAATTGCTATGTATTTTTTCGTTGCATGCAATCTATATTAACAGTTTTATTTAACCAGTATGATATATTGATAATAGTTTAGATGATTTCCAGATGTTGCTTAGGAGTAGTTATGAATAAACACTTACAGACACATATCTTTTTACAAGTATTTGTTAAACTATTGGTGGTGTGTAAGTAGTGGTGTGAAGAGAATGGCAGACTATCCGAAAATGACTTTATTATTATATTTAGTTAAAAGCAACATGGAATTTAATGTTTATTTTCAGAAGAAGTGACCTACTTCTGATTCTAAAAATGGTTCATATTTGTGTTTGGATGCTTACAGTATAGAAGAGATCAAATTGCCTCATACAACTTAAAACTTACGATGCCTTTTTAATGAGGATTGTGGCTTCACATAGATCATGTGCTTGAAATAGACCAGGTCATTCCAATTACAGTCTTTCTACAGGATATTTTAGCATTGAAATCCAGCTTTTAAAAGAAGAATTGTATTATGACAACAGTTCTGGACTTGTTATGGATTGGTTTAGAAATGTGTTCTTACTAATGAAGGCAAGATCTGCATCTAATTTATTACCTTACTGTTAATCTCCTGACTGCCTACAGTGTGATCAGTTGAGGACACTTCTGCCTTACAGTGAAGAGTGTGAGTCTAGATTCTACTGATAGAACTGGAGCTCTCCACATTTGAGTATTTAATCCTACAACTTTTGGGGATCCCTTAGTCACTTGATTATTATACATTGTGTGTATATAGGTTACTTATTGATATAAATTATAACTTACTGGGCTGGGAAAGTGGCTTAGTGGTAGAGCGCTTGCCTTGCACGCATTAGGCCCTGGGTTCGATTCCTCAACACCACATAAGCAAAAAGAAAAAAGCCAGAAGTGGCACTGTGGTTCAAGTGGTAGAGCACTAGCCTTGAGCTGAAGAGCTGAGGGACAGCGCCCAGGCCCAGAGTTCAGGCCCCATGACCGGACCTCCCCCCCCCAAAAAATTATAACTTACTTAAATACTAGGACCAGGGAATTATAGACATTTCCAGCTTTATCATCTTCGACAAGTATAAAGGATCCCTCTGTATACCAGTTAAAGTTTGAATTTGATTCAACTTCAATTTTGATTGGATATTTATATAGTTTGTGGATGTTCTTTACTCAGACTTTGAGGTTCTTATTATTCTTGCCATCTAGTCTACAAGTCTAACAACTTTATGATGTCGTGATTTCGCTCCTAATTCACTTTTCCTAGTAGCTCCAGTTCACTTAATTATAGAATTCATCAGAAGATATTGTGTTCTGTATATGACAACTGAGAAAGAAATGCTAGATTATAGAATAGTGGCTTCTATTCATCATTTGAAAAGTGAAGCATACATACACATTTCTAATTTCAGATCAACAGCAAAAAGAAGGAATCAGCATGGGAAATGACAAAAAGCTTATATGACGCATGGTCAGGATGGTTAGTAGTAACATTAACAGGATTGGCATCAGGTAAAGAAAAAATTTAACACCATTTTATTTATTTGTTTAGATAAGAGAAGTATAAACAGTTCCTTTTCCCTCTCTTCAGTTTTCCTCCCCTCTCCCAGGTATTAGTGCTATGAAAGCATTTGTTTCTCTTCCTCAAAAAATCTTCTTAAATAGAAGACTAGGAGACAGGAGGCTTTTTAGTCTAGACTTGGCTTTCACTTTCAGGTGTGGATCCAACTTGCATCATCTTTCTGGGTTCAGTTTCCATAGAACAAGTGATTTGGATCAGATGGCAAATAAAGTATTTTTAACATCATAACCGCTAATACTTGTTGAGCACTTCCTATGTGTCATGTAGGATTCTAAAAACTTTGTATATATTTAAACCTCATGACAATCTTATAGCATAAATATTCTCATTATAACCCTCTACAGATGAAGGGACTAACGCACAAGAGAAGTAACTTAGCTGCAGTAACATAGCCAGTAATGGCTCAGCCAGGGTTTGAGTTCCAGCAAGTTAATGCAAGAGATGAGCTTTTTAATCACTGCACCACAGCTTGGCTTCAAAGTCCCTTCTTCATTTGAGACTTCAAGAAATAGTTGAGCACTGGGTGCCAGTGGCTCATACCTATAATTCTAGCTACTCAGGAGGCTGAGATCTGAGATTCAAAGTTCAAAGCTGGGTAAGAAAGTCTGTGAGACTCATCTCCAATTAATCACCAAAAAACCATTAATGGAGCTGGGGTTCAAATGATAGAGCATTACCTTTGAACACAATCTCAGGGACAGTGCTTTCAGGCCCTGAGTTCAAGCCCCAGGACCAGCAGAAAACAAAAAAAAAGAGAACAGAAATAGTTGAGGATCTGAAAACAAATATTAAGGGTTGCTTTAGTCACTTTGACTCCCATTATTTGAAAATCACATCCAGAAAATTTTAACAAATGATACATTTGTGGGAATAAAGAAAAGTATTGATAACTAATTGGCATGCATGTGAATTTTGCGGTCTTCTGTGTATAAGCCATTGATGTTTTCATATAATAGGTGACAGTGAATTTTTGTATTCATTTTGGTATTTTGTCAGTAAAATAATCTTGGCACGTAATTTAAAAAAATTGTAAATCAATTACAGTAATTCATAAATGCTATGAGCTCAACTTTTTAATGGACACCAAATTTTAATAAAGCTGACATCACTTATTAGTCTGTTAATTATATTTTGAATTGAAGTAGGCTACTTAAAAATCTTGACTTGTGTCCAGATATGTCATCACCCTGGCAACTTTCTCCTTCTAAATGTCTTGCCAACTTCCTCTCCCTCCCTTCCTCCCTCCCTCTCTTCCTTCCTTCCCTCTTACCTCTTTCCTTCCCTGCTTCCTTCCCTGCTTCCTTCCCTTCCTCCCTTCCTTCCTCCCTCCTTCCCTCCTTTCCTTTTGTAATTATAGGGAATTTGAATGATGTGGTTGGATTTTTAATTTCAGTCAAAGAATAGCAGTTTTATTTTAAAGAATACTTATTGGCAGGCTTTTTAAAAATAAAGAATATATATTTAATTACAAGTTAAACCTTTGTAGAAAGTTTCCCATTTTTGATTAAACTCATAACCATATCCTCCCAAAATGAATTTATTTTTTGGACCATCTCCAACACATTTTTACAGGGGCATTGGCTGGATTAATAGACATTGCTGCTGATTGGATGACTGACTTAAAGGAGGGCATTTGCCTCAGTGCATTGTGGTACAACCATGAACAGTGTTGTTGGGGATCTAATGAAACAACTTTTGAAGAGCGGGATAAATGTCCACAATGGAAAACATGGGCAGAATTAATCATAGGTCAAGCAGAGGTAAGTCTTGCTTTGCTCAAGATGAGTTGATTGATAATTGTACCAATTCACTTAAAAGAATCACAGCCTAGGTGACTGAACCATATATTAAAGAAAAGTTGTATAATAGGGTAGAATGGAAAATATATGACTACATAATACAAAAAAAAATAAAGATTATTTCAAGCAGCTTTTGTATTAAAGTACATGGTTATACACAGGTTACTTGCAAAAAGACACAAATTTATTGTGGTGGAAGAAAAATGATAATAATTGTAGTAGGTTGTCAATAGATGTAAATCATTGTAATTAGATGTGTTATTAGAGTAATTTATCCTAAAGATCAGTAAGACTAGGAAATAAGAATTATGAAAGTGTAGATTGTTAAATAGTTGGTAAAATGAATATTACAAGTAGAGATACGTTCAGTTATTTAAGATTTTCTTTGAGGCATTATAGTACTTGACTATCTTAACTACTATAATGTTATGTATTAACAATGTCCTGGACAATAGGAGATTATATGTAGTCATGTGGGAGGATATGTATTTTAAAATGTTACAGATGAACCTTAGAGCTAAGAGGAATGTTTTTTGATAAGATGTGCAATGTGCTGTTTCTTACCTTGAGTTTAATGATCTTTAGAAGAATTGGAATGGAATGAAATTGGAGTGCCAATCTAATTTTGTTTCCATTAACTATTGCCAAAAAGTTGTTGGTGGGTAGGCGAAGGTTGAAGTGTAATGGAAATACCTTGGTAACAAAACTTTGGGATCAGAAAAAATACGCTAGTTGCTTATATAGGAAGTACTTGCTTTAGAAATATACTATAAATCAAGCTCATATTCTTAAACTGCTCTTGTTTTTTAGGGTCCTGGTTCTTACATCATGAACTATATAATGTACATCTTCTGGGCTTTGAGCTTTGCTTTTCTTGCAGTATCTCTGGTAAAGGTGTTTGCTCCATATGCCTGCGGATCTGGAATTCCGGAGGTAAGCCACGCAGTTCTTAATATCATGAGCAATATTTGTTGGGATATTTTTTATTAGAAATTTTTTTTGAAATGAATTTTTTTTTCATGTAAAAGGAAATTCAGAAAAGGTAGACTGATTCAGGAGCAATCATTTATGCCTATAACTGACTCACTTGGAAAGCAGAGATCAAGGCAGATCAAAGTTTAAAGACAGTTTTTGAGACTTTATCTCAGCCAATAAAATTATTGGTGCAGTGACCTTACACCTGTCATGTAGCTATGTAGGAAATGTAAATAGGATGATTGAGAGTCCATCTCAAAAATAACCAATGCAATGGCGGGCTGGCGGTGTGGGTTAGGTCATAGAGCACCTGGTTGGCAAACATAAAGTCCTGAGTTTAAGCACCCAGTACTGCTAAAACAAACAAACAACATAGAAGCTGATGGTAGAAATCATTGAAAAGTAATTCTTCCCCCAAATGATTTAATCATTTTTATTGTGGGGGTGGTTTTATTTATTTATTTTTTTTGTCGGTCGTGGGGCTTGCCCTCGGGGCCTGAGCGCTGTCCTCAGCTCTTCAGCTCAAGGAGAGTGCTCTACTACTTGAGCCACAGCACCCCTTCTGATTTTCTGGTCGTTTATTGGAGATAAGAGTTTCACAGCTTTTTCTGCTCGGGCTGGCTTTGAACCATGGTCCTCACTCTCAGCTTCCTGCATATCTAGGATTACAGGCTTGAGCCACTGGTGCCTGGCTGTAGAGGTGATTTTTTAAAAATACTCTTCTCATTTAGCATATAACTTAGCAAATTATCATAAAACTTAAACATCAAGAGCCTAGAAAAATGTCCTGTGACCTAAAGTTCTTTGGGGAAATAGTTGGTGTTTGGCTGTTATGACCCTAATTTTAATTATTCTTTCCATTATCTGAGCTATATTCAGTTAGCTTAAATAAGTTAATAATTCTTGAGTTATATCATTTTATACTTTGAGAAACCATGTGATCACAGTAGGTATGTAATATAAACTTTTGAGTGTTTATGTGTGTGTGTGTGTATGTATGTATGTGTATGTATATGTATGTATATGTGTATGCTGTTTCTGAGGCTTGAACTCAGGGCCTTAGGTACTGTCCCTAAACCTCTTTGGGCTTAAAGCTAGTGCTCTACCACTTAAGCCACAGCACCATTTCCAACTTTTTTCTGGCTTTGAACCATGATCCTCAAATCAGCCTCCTGAGAAGCTAGGATTACGGGCATGAGCCACCAGCTCCCAGATTAGTAAGAGCAATATTGTTCAGTTCTCAGCACTTTTCATTCATCCTTCTTGATACATAGAAAAACATTTGATACAGTACCCTAAGAAGGCATATGACATTGCCTGATACGTATCTACAACAACAAATTTCTACATTTCTACAACAAAAATAATTCAAATTTGCCTTTTTGGGTAATATAATCATAAGCCTTGCAAGAAATAGCTGTATTTAACTTAGCCTGTTATTTTTGTTTTCTTATAAGACAGGGTTGCTTTCTGTCCTTGAATAGAAAAGTAGAATAAAACTCAGATTTATTGTATGTATCATTAAAAAATTGTCAATTATTTCAAAATTTGCATGTAGTTTGTGAGCAAAACAAGAATATTTTAGATTAAATTCTGATATTTCAGGCTGGGAGATTGGCTTAGTGGTAGAGTGCTTGCCTCGTATGCATGAGGCCCTGGGTTTGATTCCTCAGCACCACATAAGCAGAAAAAAAACTGGAAGTGGTGCTGTGGCTCAAGTGGTAGGGCTCTAGCTTTGAGCTGGAGAGCTGAGGGACAGTGCCCAGGCCCAGAGTTCAGCTACCACAACTGACCTAAATAAATAAATAAATAAAAATTAAAGAACAAATTCTGATGTTTCTTCAAGGAAATTAAGATGCCATAATCTTTCCTTTGTAGATTAAAACTATTTTGAGTGGATTCATCATCAGAGGTTATTTGGGAAAATGGACTTTAATGATTAAAACCATCACGTTAGTACTGGCTGTGGCATCGGGTTTGAGTTTAGGAAAAGAAGGTCCCCTGGTACACGTTGCTTGTTGCTGTGGAAATATCTTTTCCTACCTCTTTCCAAAGTACAGCACAAATGAAGCTAAAAAAAGGGAGGTAAGTGTTTTCTGTGGTTCATTTGTCAGAAAAATACATATTTGATATCTGTGAGGAATCTTATAGACCATATTTTACTTTTGCTTTTTGGATAGAGTCTGTATTTAAAGTGTTTGTTTGAGATTAGTTTGTTTCTTTTCCTTTGTGGAACATATAAGATCTAGAATCTTATCTCCTCTGCTGCTCAGAATATGCCTCTATTTTGGAATTTCAGGTAGATTAGGTAGTGCCCTTTGCATTTCCTTTAAGTTTTGTATGCTAAGTGTAACATTATAATGTCAACATTATTGTATGTCAGGGTTGTGAAATCTAACTTGCTATGTTTTCCTGGTAGAGGTGGTGTCTAATGTCAGTGGAAATGGTGCATGATTTGTACAAAGCTTTTTTCTTGCATCATGAGTAAGTTCCAAAGTAAGACCTGTAGAACTTCCTGAAGTGTAAATCAGAAACTCACTTTATAGGGAAAATATGGGAATTCCTTCCTTCCCTCCCTCCCTCCCTCCCTTCCTCCCTCCCTCCCTCCCTCCCTCCCTCCTACCCTCCCTCCCTCCCTCCCTCTCTCCCTCCCTTCCTTCTTTGTTAGTTGAGGAGTTTGAACTCAGGCCTGGGTGCTGTCCCTGAGTCTCTTTGTGCTCAAGGCTATTGCTCTACCACTTGAGCCACAGTGCCACTTCCAGTTTTCGTGTAGTTAATTAGAGATAAGAGTCTCCAAGGGAGTTTTCTGCCTGGGTTAGCTTCAAACCGCAATCCTCAGATTTCAACCTCCTAAGTAGCTAGGATTATAGGTGAGAGCCACCAGTGCCCAGCAAAATCTTTCTTTAGCTGATTTTAGGCAATTTCTTTAGGTCAGCATGAGGTCTTTTAGCGCATTTTTGAACTGTAGACTTCATCAAAAGAAATAAATTATAGACTTCTCTTCATGCTTCAACATTTTTCGGGGGGGAGGGGGTTGGTTGTGGGGCTTGAACTCTAGGCCTGGGCACTGTCCTTGAGCACTTCAGCTCAAGGCAATTGCTCTATTACTTGAGCCACAGTGCCACTTGTTTCAACATTTTTGTGGATATTTCTGGAAGAAATATGGGTTCTAGGGCCTGTCTGGAGACTTTGAGTTTTTATAGACTTCCAGACTTTGGGGGTCCTGTCCTGTTTTCCTGAATGCACAGCTATTCACATTACAAGTTATCTGTATTCATTACCTATTTGTTACAGTGTAATCACATTATTTTATTTGGCAATGGTTTTGGCTGAATATGAATGCGTGAATGAGCTTTCAGTTAAAGTACAAGAGAAAAATACCTGTTAAAAGAACTTAATACTTGTCCTTTGCTTTGGGGGGGGGGGATTTAATTTTAGAAGTAGTATTTGGAAGCCGGGCGCTGGTGGCTCACGCCTGTAATCCTAGCTACTCAGGAGGCTGAGAACTAAGGATCGTGGTTCAAAGCCAGCCCGGGCAGGAGAGACCGTGAGACTCCTATCTCCAATAAAAACCACCAGAAAACTGGAAGTGGTGCTGTAGCTCAAGTGGTAGAGCGCTCGCCTTGAGCTGAAGAGCTGAGGGACAGCGCCCAGGCCCAGAGTTCAAGCCCCACGACCGACAAAAAAAAAAAAAAGAAGTAGTATTTGGAAAATTGATGTAATATGAGCTTTTATTTGCTATATTTGAATTTATAAGACAATAAGAAATAAGCCACATCTTCTTTCTAGGTGCTATCAGCTGCCTCAGCTGCAGGTGTTTCCGTAGCTTTTGGTGCACCAATTGGAGGAGTTCTTTTTAGCCTGGAGGAGGTAGGTACAAAAGCAGAGCAATTAACATTATGGTAGGTTCAAAAGTACATCAATTAACATTATGTGTAATTTGCCAGTACAAATACGTTTTGGCACTGTGTTTTAGCTGATGTAACATAGCTAGTTTTGAAGTTCTCAGTTTTATATTTAGAAAATTTTTAACATGTTCTTAAATGAAAATATGTTGCATGCCTAAAGAAAACATAAAACTGTTATTCGTGTATAAATGTTGGTATTTAACGTAATTAAATATGTAAATTTGACTTATTAGGAGATGTAGATAATTTTAGTTGTTTCAGTAGAATATACTATTTGTTTTTCAGACTGATGCTTAAATTTTTTCCTTTTTTGTGCTTTTATACAAAAATGTCACTAGGATTGTTTGTAAAGCTGCACTTAAAAGGCAAGTCAAATATGTTTTTATGAGCTAACAAGCATTGGTGATGGTAATTTATTTATTTATTTTTTTTAATTTTATTTTATTGTGGTAATTTATTTTTAACTGCCATGATTGAATTAGATGTGAAACTCCTCTGAAAATAAAATAGGTCTAGCTATTCTAAATTATTAGGTATTTAAGACCAGTTATTGTGAACTTTTAGCGGTGTAGCACATCACTACTAAAGTCAATACCATTTTATTACCATAAAACGCAAATTCTAGCTGTGTCAAGAATTAGAGCTACCTATAGTAATATTTAGAGAAATGCTTACTCAAGTCAAAAGCATAAGATGATAGCATTCATGTTTCTTTTCTCTTTCTAGGTTAGCTACTATTTCCCTCTCAAAACTTTATGGAGATCATTTTTTGCTGCTTTAGTGGCTGCATTTGTTTTGCGATCCATCAATCCATTTGGTAACAGCCGGCTGGTCCTTTTTTATGTGGAGTATCATACACCATGGTACCTTTTTGAACTGTTTCCTTTTATTCTCCTAGGGGTGTTTGGAGGGCTTTGGGGAGCCTTTTTCATTAGGGCAAACATTGCCTGGTGTCGTCGACGCAAATCCACCAGATTTGGAAAGTATCCTGTTCTTGAAGTCATTATTGTTGCAGCCATTACTGCCGTGATAGCCTTCCCTAATCCATACACTAGGCTCAACACCAGTGAACTGATCAAAGAGCTTTTTACAGATTGTGGTCCCCTGGAATCCTCTTCTCTTTGTGACTACAGAAATGACATGAATGCCAGTAAAATTGTTGATGATATTCCTGACCGTCCAGCCGGCGTTGGAGTATACTCAGCTATTTGGCAGCTATGCTTGGCACTCATATTTAAAATCATAATGACAGTATTCACTTTTGGTATTAAGGTAAGTGCTAATGGAAGGTGGTGCTGAAGTAATCTTGGAATCTTCAAAAATTTAATGTGAAATGAGAAATGCATTTTTTTTTTAAATCTAAGAGTTTATAGAACTGATGTCAGAAATCTGAAAAGGTCTTTATGGGCTGAGTTGGAGGTGTTTTGTTCACATGGTATTCTGGAACCTGTAGGAAAGAACCTGCCACATTTTTTGGCTTATTATTCCCTTTCTCTTTGAAGCCAGCAAGTCTTTCTCTTGTCACAATACTCTGACCCTTAACTCTTATAAATCCTTCTTTCATAGTAAACACCCACTAGTGATTATATTCTACCTTCTCAGATAATCCAGGATAATCTCCCATTCTAAGATCACCTGGTTAGCAACCTGAATTCCTCTTTGCCAAGTAACATCACTTATTTGCAGGTTGTAGGAATTAGGAGAGACGTCTGTGGGGAGCCATTATTCTGCCTGTCATACTACTGCTTAAAAGACGTTGTAAACTCAGAATTGAATTATGAGATCACCAAGCATAGTAATTTTTTTTCTATCACAGATTTAAGGCTTATGCATCAGAACATTGTTTATTTTGGACCAAGAAAGTGAGAATAACATTCATTAATTAATGATCAATGAATATAAGCTGGTATTTATGAGGAAGCAGATGTTGATGTTTTTATTCTTTAAATTATTACATCCCTAGTTCATGTTATAGTTAGTATTTGTTAGTGATAATATTCTGTCACAGATGTAAATTACGTGAAGAAATAGCTTTCTTTCTTTGGAATTAGAATGGTAGTGGGTTTTTTTGGAAGTAAAATTTCTTTTGTCTTTATTTAGTTCATAAAGTATTGAGAGCCAAATAATAGAAGAGCTTTGAAGTTTTATATTTTTTCTCATAGCAAATCAAGCTGAAGGAGCTGTTAAAAGTTCCTTTGTTTATAGTCAGTTGGTTTTTGGCAAATCTCTGTTGCTTTGACATCAGTAAACTACACCACAAAGGATTATAGTTATGTAAGAAAGCTGGAGTCGGTTGGTGAGCCTTTAAGTCCCAAGCTCTTGCTGAAAGATAACTGTTAAGGACATTGTAAAACATGCTTTGTGTTGTGTATCCCTTTCATGACCTGATGTCCTACAATATGTCATTGTTTAATATCCAGAACAGGTTAGGGCTGTTGCTCTATCAGTAGTCTTAAAAGTAATTTTGCCTAAGGTGTTTACTGTTCCTATTGCCTTCTTTAAATTTAAGTTAGTAAATGTTTTGCTTTTTTTTTTTTTTTTTGGTTGGTCATGAGGCTTGAACTCAGGGCCTGGGTGCTGTCCCTGAGCTTTTTCTCTCAAGGCTAGTTAGTGCTGTACCACTTTAAGCCATAGTGACACTTCCAGTTTTCTGGTGGTTAATTGGAGATAAGCATCTCATAGATTTTTCTGCCTGGACTGGCTTCAAGCCACAATCCTCAGATCTCATCCTCTTTGGGTAGTTGGATTACAGACATTAGCCACCAGCTCTCAGCTATTCTTAATTGATATATTTCACTGAATACAAGGGGAACTGAGAAGGTTGCTCACTTTACATTGTATCACTTACAAAGACTAGTATCTAATGATTTTGTTATTTGTAACTACGTAGGAAGGGCATACTCTTGTGGAGCAAAGTATAGTACTTCAAACTGAGTTGATTAAGTTTTATGAGAAACACTTCATATCCCCTCCCCCTTTTTTGAATTTTACAATGGACCTGTGGGAATTTTGCTAGAGACTTAGCAGTAGGGAATCTCTAAGATAGAAGTTGTATAACATTTGATTTTTCTTCCTCCTTGGCCTAGAGAATGTCTTCTGTCACTTGGAAGTGAATTCATGGAATAACCAAGGTGCTGTTGATTAAGATATACTCCTGTTTCTGTTAGGCTTTTATGGTACTTATTCCTATCTCTGCTAGGCTGTTGCCATAATAAATGTGAAAGGAGTCACAGGCTCTTGAAAGAAATCCATGACAGGAGCGTGGGGCTCAGACTGTGTTTCTGAAGCCCTGTGGCTCATTAGGCTCACGAGGCTCTGTTATTATTGCAGGTTCCATCAGGCCTGTTCATCCCCAGCATGGCCATTGGTGCGATTGCAGGAAGGATTGTGGGGATTGCAGTGGAACAGCTTGCCTATTATCACCACGACTGGTTTATATTCAAGGAGTGGTGTGAGGTCGGGGCCGATTGCATTACACCGGGCCTTTATGCTATGGTTGGCGCCGCTGCATGTTTAGGTAATATAACTGTGTCTGCTGTGTGTGAATGTTTGCAAGTCTGAATGGAAAGGGCCAATGGTAGCATGCTTGTGCTTAATTAATAAGGGCTTTGGTGGAGGAGAATGCAGGATTGAGGGAAGAAATAACAGAAATGAGACAGGGGTCCTCTTATGGTTTTCATTTTGCCTGTCAGGGAACATTTGTTAATGCAGCAATTAAAGAGTAGTAGGCATATTTGTCATAATGCTTGATGACAGAAACCATTTCCATGCAGCATAGGCTTCATTTGAATCCTGACCAAGGAGATTTTTGGTTTTTCATTTTAAGGCTGTAGGTTAGTACAGACTAATTATAAACCGGTTCTTAACAAGCTTCAGAACAGCTTTGCGGTAATTTATTTTCATCCACACTAAAAGATATATTTACCAGTCCTTGATCACCTGAGGCACATTTGCAGCTGGAAGACAACTTCTTATTTTAGTGAAAAGAAAATATTTGCACTAACTATGGAACTATTTATTGCCTTTTTGGCATGTTAAATACTTATTAAATATTAAATACTTATTAAAATGTCTGTCAGTTAAACTTTGATTGTAATAAAGTTGGTGTTTGACTCTTGTTCAGTGAGTCAAAATTTTGCAATTAGTGGTCTTGAAGTGTAATGTCAAATGAACAGAATTATTTCATCCAAATAGCAAGTGTTCACTATTATTGTTGTTCAACCCAATATTGAGCAATATTAATGATTACAGAAAGTACTAAAAGTCTGCTATACAAATTTCAACAAAATCTTAACTTGGAAATATGGCTTATAAAGTGGATTAAACTTTAATAGGGGCCAGAGTTAATGGAGGTAAGTAAGATTAGGTTGGTGTTGAAATTAGGAATGACATCTTCAGGACCCAGACTAGCTTTATATCAAAATCCTGAGACAGGGGCCATGGGTAGATATCTTACAGAGGAAACCAAACACACACACACACACACACCACACACACACACACACACACACACACACACACACACACCACACACACACACACACACACACACACACACACACACACACCCATCTGCCTTTTTTGGACAAGAAATTGGAATGAGAGTTTCTTTGGTTAAGAAGAATTTTGTTTTAAGTGTGTAGTGTTTTCTGTGGCAGTGGGTCACCTAAAGTCTCTGCAATTGAAAAATGACATAAATACAGTAGTAGCATATGGCATTTGAATTGTGGGACAAAGACAACAGTAATAGACAGATGTGGCTTAGGTAGAAGAATTATGATTTGGGTAAATCATTTTTACTAAATTTGTTTAGTAAGGATTGGACCCAGATCTTTATGCATGCTTTATCACTGAGCTACCCTCTAGCCTAGAACAGATGATTTTCTATCGGGAATATTATTTACATTTTTAATAAAAATCATAAAATTATTCATTTTGAAGAAAGTTTAGAAGAGAGAAACTTACAAAATTAATCTTCTACCCATATGTAAGTTTAACTTGTAAACTGGTGGCAAATCAGATAGTCATGATATGTAGCACCACATTTCCTTAAGAATTAGTAAGCTTTTATGAGTGTAAAATGATGCTTTTGCTACAGCAATACCTCAAACAGGCAACATTACTTTGCTGGTCTGCTCTGATTTTCTTTTTTCTTTTTCTTTTTACTTAACATACTATGGATTAAATTCAGGGCCTCATGCTTGTAAGAAGTTGCTCTGATCACTTAAGGCATGCTTCCTGCCCCTTTCTGCATTGGTTATTTTGGGGATAGGGGATATTTTGGGGATAGTTTATGCCTAAGCTGAAGTCCTCCTACTTGTGTTGCCGGAGATGACAAACACTGTGCTTAGCCATTGGTTGAGATGGATTCTCATGACCTTTTGTGCCTGGACTGGTCTTCAATTATGACACCCCATCTCTGCATCCTAAGTAGCCAGAATTTTGGGCTTGAGCTCATAAGGATTCCAAAATAATTCTTTTGGGTAACTCTGTCTTTTTAATAAGATAAACAATTTTGAAATGGCGTATATATATATATATATATATATATATATATATATATATATTACTTTTTTTTTTTTTTTTTTTTTGATCATTGGGCTTCAGCTCTTTAGCTCAAGGCGAGCGCTCTACCACTTGAGCCACTGGGACACTTCCAGTTTTCTAGGGTTAATTGGAAATAAGAGCCTCACGGACTTTCCTGCCTGGGCTGGCTTTGAACTGCGATCCTTAGATCTCAGCCTCTTGAGTAGCTAGGATTACAGGCATGAGCCACTGGTGCCTAGTTCTTATAATGTTTTATTTTTATTTAAGTATTTATTTTTGGGTCCGGTCGTGGGGCATGAACTCTGGGCCTGGGCACTGTCCCTCAGCTCTTCAGCTCAAGGCTAGAGTTCTACCACTTGAGCCACAGCGCCACTTCCGGCTTTTTTCTTTTTGCTTATGTGGTGCTGAGGAATCGAACCCAGGGCCTCATGCATGCAAGGCAAGCGCTCTACCGCTGAGCCACCTTCCCAGCCCCTCTTATAATGTTTTATAAGCAAAGAAGATTTTTTCTCCTCCAAATCTTATTAAAAGTACTGATTTTAATCCTACCAGAAAAGAAGGGAAGTTTTTGATGGCAATGCTTTTCACTGTGTTCTATAATTTGTGTGTGACTTCCTAATAAAATAGTGACATATAGTGGTTAAGATCCTGTCTTTTCTGACCAATTGTACTGTTTTCCCCTCAGGTGGTGTGACAAGAATGACTGTCTCTCTGGTGGTTATTGTTTTTGAACTCACTGGAGGCTTGGAATATATTGTTCCTCTTATGGCTGCAGTAATGACCAGTAAATGGGTTGGAGATGCCTTTGGTAGAGAGGGCATTTATGAAGCACACATCCGATTAAATGGATACCCTTTCTTGGATGCAAAAGAAGAATTTACTCATACTACCCTTGCTGCTGATGTCATGAGACCTAGAAGGAATGACCCTCCCTTAGCTGTTCTCACGCAGGACAATATGACTGTGGATGATATAGAAAACATGATTAATGAAACCAGCTACAATGGCTTTCCTGTCATAATGTCAAAAGAATCTCAGAGATTAGTGGGATTTGCTCTCAGAAGAGACCTGACAATTGCAATAGGTACCTTTTAAATTATATCTATTCGTGGGGCTGGGAAGGTGGCTCAATGGTAGAGTGCTTACCTTGCATGCATGAGGCCCTGGGTTTGATTCCTCCATACCACATAAGCAGAAAAGGCCAGAAGTGGTGCTGTGGCAAGTAGTAGAACACTCACCTTCAGCTGAAGAGCTGAAGGAAAGTGCCCAGGCCCAGAGTTCGAGCCCCATGACTGACGAAAAAAAAATTATATCTGTGTGTGTGTGTGTGTGTGTGTGTGTGTGTATGTGTGTGTGTGTAGTGTAATATGACATAATTTCTAGAAGAAAGTTTAATTAGTTAGATTTTTAAAACAAGGAACATTTATGTCCCTTTGAAAGGAATTTATGCCTCAATGGATGGTTTTATCTTTTAATTTAAATGAAAGGATTAGTTCTGCAATATTGATCAAACCAGTGAGACTTTAATCTTTTTCAACACAATCTAAATCCTCTAATAAGTAAGCAATAGAGAATAGGTGTGGTAAAGCTATTGCTTTTTTTGTCTCCTCAGTTTCTTGTGCAGGATCTTTAGCTGTAAATGTCAAGCAGTTTGGTATGTCTCCAGATATCTTTCTCTTCCATATTAACCTGTAAGGCTACTGCAAAAGGTTTCCAAAGTAATTCTTTTGCCGCTTGAAGAGGGAAGACTAGACAGTATATGGGGTTGTAGAGCATTTCTCAAACTGGAAAGTTACTGTTTGCCAAAAAGAAAGGAAAATTTTAAAAAGATCCTACAGAGAATGTTCCATTCATATTTTTCAGACTAGTGATCCTGTCATTCTAAAGTTTTTTGGGGGTAATAGGATACCAGATTTAAATTGTCAGACTTGGCAATTTTAGCTTTTTTTTAGTTTTAGCTTTCCATCCACTGTCATGGCTGAACCTAGTCAGGAAAGAACTGCTATGTGTAGATATCCCTTCTCTAGGTTTTACTGGTAGCCAATGAAGAAAACTAGAGGTCGGAATTTTGGAATTTATACATAAAGTTAAAAAGGCTAGGTTTTTAAAAGGTAAAGAAGATACTGCTGAAATGAAGGGTAACTAGTATTCTTACTTTGTATGGAGATAAATGTTTTTAAGTTTCGTCATTGTCTTTTTTTTTTCTTCCAGTACTAGGGCAAACTCAGGCCTTTTGGGTTTACACTTGCTTTTTCACTTTTAACCTATGCTCTACCACTGGAGCCACACCTCCATGTTTGGCTTTTTGCTAGAAGAGATAAGAGTCTCTTGGATTTGTCTGCTCAAATCTTGATTCTCAAGTCTGAGTAACTAGGAGGAGTATAAGTGTGAGTTGTTGTCACTCTCTTAAGAGATAAAATAATGAGAATGGAAATAATGGCAGTTTAAAGGACTTGGGTGCTTTAGATATATAACACATCAAGACAAGCCACCAGAATACTAGTCACATGATGGCTTTTTTTTTTTTTTTTTGAGTGGGTCCAGTCCTGGGGCTTGAACTCAGGGCCTGGGAGCTGTCTCTGAGCTTTTTTGCTCAAGAGTGTTTTACCACTTGAGTGGTCATACATGCTAAAAATGTCATACATGCTATTTACTATTATACTTCGCATCTTTTCTTACTGTTTCTGTTGATGACTTATTGTAGGCTTTTTTTCTTCTGTTTTATTTTTGGTACCAGTTCTGAGCCTTGAACTTAGGGATTAGATGCTGTCCTTGAGCTTTTTTGCTTAAGGCTACCATTCTACCACCTGAGCCAGAACTCTACTTCCAGCTTTATGTAGTTAATTGGAGATAAGAGCCTCACAGACTTTCCTGCCTGGACTGGCTATGAACTGGGATCTTAGCTATTAGCCTCCTGTGCTGCAAGGAGGAAGCTTGAGCCATTGGTGACTGGCTTTTATTTTTGAACGTTTGCTTTTAATTCTTATACTAGACTTAAAAATAATTTACACCCCTCATAATTTGTAGTATTCTAAATTGGACGATATGTTTCTGGTAAATTAATTTACATACAAAAACTTGACAGCTTTACTCCTTTATTTTGTTATACTTTCGGTGTCACACTTCAATCATTGTATCCTGTGTACCCATTAACAGCAGATGTTGTTAGAATTTACAGCATACCACTCAGGTGACAGGCATCAGTTATTAGTTAAATCCTTCTTATGGTCTAAAAAACAATTTAGCATATGAATGTCTGTTATTCTCTCTCAGTTAAGAAGACGTTAGTGGTCAGAAGAAATATTACAGTATTCATTTATGATAGTAATTTCTGCTTCTTAATCAAGGCTGTTTATTGTTTTGGCGTTAGCTTTTTTGTAGCAAAATTCAAGTTCCACATATTTTCACTATAACAAATACAATACAATCATGCTGTCTTGAAGAGTATTAACTCAAAATAAAAGCATAAGCAGAATGACTTTTTTTTGTGTGTGTATTCTATTTTGTGGGTTTTCTTTTCCTTCCTTCCTGTCTTTCCTTCCACTTTGGGGTTGCAGTTTCAAAAGTGGGTGAGGAAATAGTGGCAAAACAGAAGCACAGGGAGCAGACCACACTAAGGAGGAAGACAAACTGACAGAACCCTTACTTACAAACTACATAAAAAGTCAGTCTGTATCCATTATAAGCATAATTATAGTTTCAACGTCTCTGTGATGCTCATGAGTCATCTGGACAATTAGACTTTTAACATCAGAATATAGAAAGAACCAACTATTATTAATGGGAGTGCACTGCACAGCACAGTCGAAGCTAGGATGAAACTCTCAACTCCAGTGCAGAATAAGGGACACTCAGCATACGCAGTCTTTACGCCATGATGGATCCCTACAGTAAACTGTCTTCCATAGTCCCAGTATGCTTGAAAACAGTTAGAAAACAGCGTAAGCTCCATAAACAAAATTGTAATCTTAGATAGTTAGACATCTTATTTACATGAAGATTCTTGGTTATTGGTAGATTCTAATTTAGTGAAGTAGAAGAAATGACCAAATCCATTCTGAGTTAAGGAATAGGAAAAAGTGAAGGGAGACAAATACATTTATCTCCAAATGAGCAACTTGCTGAAAGAATGAAAACTGTCCGTGTAATTTTTTTTCCATCTTCTCGATCTCATTTTCAGAAAGCGCCAGGAAGAAACAAGAAGGCATCGTCGGCAGCTCCCGTGTGTGCTTTGCGCAGCACACCCCGTCCCTTCCCGCAGAAAGCCCTCGGCCGCTGAAACTTCGAAGCATCCTCGACATGAGCCCTTTCACCGTGACAGACCACACCCCCATGGAGATTGTGGTGGACATCTTCCGAAAGCTGGGTCTGAGGCAGTGCCTTGTAACTCACAACGGGTAAGTGTGGCACCTCGGAGGCCGGCTCACTCACCAGAGTTTAATTCTCTCATGCAGTTTTCTTTTTAGGGCAAAGGGGGAGTCAGCTCCCCATGGAGAAAAGCCTGTGAATCAGTATGGAGAGTAAGAAAGATGTCAAGTACCCACTGTTTGCCAAAACATAAAGTAGCTTTGTCAAGAATAGTGTACTTCAAAGTTGGAAAAGAGGTGTGAAAGTATTTCCAACATGAACAGCATGTTAAGATTAAACTATTTACTTTTTTAGCTGAATACTGGGTCTCAGTTGTATGAGACACTACTAAAACCTATTTTTTCTTACGCATTTCATGCTTACAATTTTGTAGTACAGTTATAACTTTCTAAATATTTTTGCTGTGTAGTCTTTCCACTAATATATGACTTAATCATGGGAGAAAAGAAAGGACATATAAGTGAAATTTGTACTTTAGCTAAAAATCTCCTTTAACAGCTGGGTACCAGTGGCTGACCACTGTAACCCGAGCTTCTTAGGAAACTAAGATCCAGGAACATTGTGGTTCCAGGTCAGCACATGAAAGAAAACAAACATACAAGTTTGCAAGACTCGTATCTCAGTGGAAGAAGGTGGGCACAGCTAGGATGCTATGTATAAAATAGGCCCATGGTGGTCCCAATGCAGTTCCCGGCAGAAAGCAGCACCGTTTCCAAAAAACCAGTGCAAAAAAAGGCTGTAGGTGTGGGCCAGAAGTAGAACATTTGCCCAGCAAATGTGAAGTCCTGTGTTCAAATACTTCCTTCAACAAATGCTCCAACTCTATTTGTCCACCGTCTCTGTTCACACTTTATTTATTTATTTATTTATTTTTGTAAGTCCTGGAGTTTGGACTCAGTGCCTGGGCAATGTCCCTGAGCTTCTTTAGCTCAAGGCTAGCACTGTTTATGTGGTACTGAGGAGTCGAACCCAGGGCTTCATTCATACTCGACAAACAACTCTACCACTAAGCCACATTCCCAGCCCTCCGTCCACCAGTACTACATACCATCTGCTAATGATAAACATGAATATATTTAGACCCCTTTATATCTACCATATTACTGTTCCTTGTTGGGATTTTTAATTTTTAAAATTATTTTATCTTATTTTTTGGAGTTAGGATCTTACTATGAAGCCCAGAGTGGCTTGAGCTAGTGATCTTTCTGCTTCATCTTTCTGAATGCTAGGGCTACGGATATGTGCCACCACACTTAGACTCCTACTGGAAGTTTTTGTTTTTGTATCATTCTGGGGCTTGAACACAGAGCCTGGTCACTGTCCCTGAAGTTTTTTGTGCAGCACTCTACCAGTTGAGCCACAGTTCCACTTTTGGCTGTTTGGTAGTTAATTGGAGATATGAGTCTTGTGGGCTTCGCTGTCCAGGCTGGCTTGGAACCGTGATTCTTGGATTTCAGGCTCCTGAGTAGTTAGGATTACAGGTTTGAGCCACTGGTGCCTGGCTTGACCTGTGTATTTTTATAAAGCAGTAGAAAGCCGGAGAATTAGATCCACATAGTGTTTTTCTGTGTACTAAATAAAGTAACTTTAGGAATATGAAATGCATCATTGAAATATAGATCTTAAGGGTACGAACTTGGAATTATTAGGTATCAGATACTGATTACAGAAGGAATGTGTGCAATAAACATTACTATGATTCTTCATTTATTTTTGTTTAAAAATAGTATTATCAAACTTTATTATTTAAAACTTACTAAATTAAAATTGAGGGATGGGATAGGGTTGGAAATAATGGGGGAGAATTATCAAAGGGGTGACATTAAGATGAATTGTATTTATAAACTGATTGGGTTGAATGTTGACTCCTTTATACAACCACTTAAGGATAGTACACTATAATTTTTAAAAGCCCTTCCTAAATACTAATTAGAACATACAGCTTTACTTCTGTCTGTCTGTCTCTATCTCTCTTTATCTATCCATGTACCTATCTATACTATCAAACTCTCTGTCTTGAAGCACTGGGGCTTGAACTCAGAGCCTTGCATTTGCCAGGCAAATACTATACCTCTTTTTGCTTTAATTACTTTTTCAAATAGATTCTTAGGTTACACCAAGGTCAGGTTGGACAGAGATCGCCTATTTATGCTTCCATGTAGCTAGGGTGACAGACCCATGCCACAGCAGCTTTTTATAGGTTAAGATGGCATCAATAATTTTGCCTAAATGGGCCTGAAACCTCAATCCTCCAAATCATCTCCTCCCATCTGGCTAAGATTGCAGTTGTGAGCCTTTACACTTGGTCCCCTTCATTTTTTAAATGGTCCAATTGGAACCTAAGTTGAATTATAATAGCTATTATGTGCTTTTGTTCTCTGTACCTGGAAAAGTTTGTCTTTTCTGTACTAGCAGATATAAATGTTATTTCTTAAATAATGATTAACTATAATCATAAAACTCTTACTATGTGAACCAGTTTTCATATTTCACCTTGCTGATCATTTCCCTGAAGTTGCAGTGTAGATAGTAGAACAGATACTAGAAAGGAAGCACTATCCAAGCACTGGTGGCTCACATATGTAATCCTAGCTATTCAGGAGGCTGAGATCTGAGAATCTAGGTGTAAATAAAGCCAGCTTGGGAAGACAAATCTACAAGACTTTTATCTTTAATTTAACTAGAAAAAAGCCAGAAGTAGTGGTGTGGCTTAAACGATAGAGTGCTGGCTGGGAGTAGTGTGGGGAGAAAAGTAATAAAATAATGATGGCATAGTTAGGGGGAAGAGAGGTAACTAATTAAAATTCTATCTGTTGCTGCTGGTTTTGTGTGAAAAGTGGGGAAGCTTTCTTGTAAGTGAGTGTACTTAACCGTCTTGGTCATGTTTCCCTTATTTTTGTCCTTCCTAGAAAATAAATATATAATGGAGAGGAAAGTGATCACTTGGAGAGGTAGTTTAAATCCAGAAAATAAATTAATGGTTTTCAGTGAAGAGCATGAAGTTTATACTAGGATGTCAGAGAAGAAAATAGCTGAGTAAACAGACATACAAATCTGGGATCTCAAAGGCAATGGGTTGGTGGGGAAGAATAGTTAGATGACAGAAAAATTGATTTTTAAATTGCAAAGATATTAATTAAATATTGATAAACATTTCATATTGTAATTTAGTAAAAATTTTCAAAATGTTTTTGTTTTGGTGGAACCAGTAGGATGTTAATAAAAGTTACTTAAAGTTTTTGAGACCATATGAGTTTGGAAAGTATTAACTGTGGTTGAGAATACTTTTGAACTTGTGAGAACATTTAAAATGATATTCTTTGATGGCTCAGTAACGGGTAACAGCAATGTAGCTTTCCAAACGTATTTGAAAATGCAACCCTTTTCTGATTGGGTGAAGTGGGTAGATGATGTCATGGGGACTAGTGTTTCTTGGAACATAACTTTGGGACATGCTAGTTTAGGTCTTATTAGCTCTTACACTATTGCTATGCTATTATTAGCAAGACTCCTCCCCCCTCCCATACCAAATTATTCTTAAGTCACATTTTGCAATGATTTTTTTTCTTCTTATTCCCTAAAGTTAATAAAGCAGCACTGATCCTTGCCTTGTTACTCGCCAGTCAATCGCTTCTGTTAACTAAAAAAATGAAACCGAATTTCTCCTTTTTTTAGGGAAATTATTCTGTTAATGAAGTGATTACTTTGTAAGTCTAACTGTACATTTTATCACTTAGGGCTTATAAATTTATAACTTTCTTTGTACTTTTGGAGCTTACTATAAAGTGATGTTAACTAAATCATTCTATTTAATTGGATAGAAAAGCGTGTCAAAATGGTGTTACTGTATTTAAATAATTGCCAAGATTTTCACATTTCTTACCTCCAGCTATAACACTGAGTAAATTAATAGCGGTTTTTGTTTTTTAACCTCAGCTACTTAAGTCAAGCATATCCATTGAGTGACTGCAAGTCACTCAGTGTATGTAGTATAGTTTCTGAGTCATGAGTGGGGTAATTATTCCTGTGGTCTGAAAACTTTTCACTTATAGATGAGTCTGTTACTTTTATAACATAGGAAGAAAACATGGTACGGAACCTGTTTCTGCCCTTTTGATCCTCTGTCCCCTGCTTCCCTGACCCTCACCCTAAGGTGTTGTATATAACAGACACAGATGTATGGCCCACTGCTTTGAAACCCCTGATGACATTCTTGAAGAAGTCAGAATATTCAAGGCAGTTTAACAGGGAAGTTCACTTATCCAGATCACCAAGGAAATGTCTAATTATCCTGAAGGGCATTTTGGAAGAATTTATCTTTTTTTCCCCCAGAATTAAGTCTTTTCAGTTTTTTTTCTTAATTATTTTATTTTGTCACATGGTGTATCTGCAGTTGAATTTATTAATTTTCATTATGAAACCAGTAACCAGACATAAATTTCAATAATTAAAAGTAGTTTCAAGTATTAATATGAGAACTTATGACTATTACTTTTGACACGTAAGTTGAGAAATAATTATTTAGAAAATAATTATTTTTTTAGGAAAAAAAAAAGGTAGCTTCTGCTCATAAATGTGTTTTATAAGTTTCAGAAATGCCATACAGTTCCTGATATTGAGAAAGAATTTTAGTTGTATTACATATTTAATACATGTTGCCTTAATTTAAGTCAAAATAATGTGAATCCAAGGGATTTCTTATGTTTTCCTGTAGGCATCAGAGTTAAACTTTCCTCCACTGCTAAAGTAGATCCAAATGATAGCTGCTATGTTGTAACAAGTTAGAAATTTGTTCCCCTAAGTGAACACTGGGAAATTCCTAATTTTCAAAGGTTTCAGAAATTTCTAAATTTCAGAGGTTCAGAGAGCTATGTTTCGTTATTAAGTTTCTTTTATACTTTGTGTTATAGTCATCTTCATTCTGAACTTTTTGATTTCTAAGCTTCTTGATTTTTTATTTGAAAAGGACACCTACCAATATTTCTTTTGAGGTCAGTTGAGTATGTGTCAAGAGAATCTAGAGTTTTAAATATCATTTTTATTTTTCTAACATTCATGACAAGCATTCTTATGTTCATGATTTTTTGTTTCTCTCATTCTTTATCATTATTATTGGAACCTCTTTTATTTAATTTCTCACAGTTATTAGCATAATAATCTGTTTCAGGATTGTCTTGGGGATCATCACAAAGAAGAACATTTTAGAGCATCTCGAGCAACTAAAGCAGCACGTGGACCCCTTGGTGATTAGATGTATCAGATCTCCTCACTAGACACCTTAGAAGTCAGGAGGCATGAAACTTGTGAACTGTTCAGTTCTCTCCCAGATACCTGCTGAACAAAAAATACTACCATGCTGCCAATTATATTTGTGTTTGATCAGATGTCTGTGAGATCAATTTAGATATTTATAAAATTCTATTCATAGAAAGTGAGCAAAGTTAACATCTCATCAAAAATCATCACTTACAATTTAAGAATTACCAAAGTTTGGTGGTTGAATGAGGAAATGTTGGACATGCTTAAGTATAAAATTGTGACAGATCTGACTAACCTAGCATATTCACCGGTCTCAGAAGACTCCTGACTGGTTAAAAATGTCTGTTCTATCATCCCCAACCCCGTTTTCTTTTTTGCTTCCTAGTCTGTGGTTGTCTTGTGGTAAACCTAAGCTCTAAGTGATCTTAACTGAGCTTAGCAGTTAGAATTACAGACAATTAGATTTTTAATGGGCACACTAACTAGAGCATTGTATATATATGTATATCTATATATATATCTGTGATTGTGACATTGTTTTTTTCTGCTGTCCCCTGCATATTTTCAAAGTCAGAATGTGTGTCCTGCCATTTCATTTAGTGAACTTGTACATAGATCATGTTTGTGCCCCTTTTGTATGTTTCTAGAATGCTATAAGCAGCTTTGGGGTCAAATTTATTTGTACTAACAGGCTTTATGTCTTAGTGGCTACGTGACTACAGATAAATTTTGATTTATGTTAACCATATAACAAAAAAAATGTCTGGCTTTAGTGATTAGTGCCTGAAATTAATTTGGTCCTGCAATTGTCATACCTAAATAAAACCTATCCCGTTTGCTTAAGTACACATCTGATTATGTGTTGCTGTTGTATGCTAATATTTCACAAGTGTTTCATGCATCCTTATTTATAAAACTACTAACCAGAATAATATAGTAGCTACTCATTCATTCTGCTTTCTGCTTCACTTATAATAATCCTTTAGGACTGTTTCTTGTTTTCTATGTAACCATTAATAACTTAAGACTTTCATAAAAGCACTGTCTTTTGGGGTGGGGCAAGATAAGGAAAAAGAAGGGGCAAACATTAACTATATACTAGAAACCTGAGTTGTATTACATATTTATTCTTAGGGTTCTGAAGTTTAGGAGTGACGTTTTGTGTTGATCATTATATATATATATATATGAATTGTATGCTTTTATGAATATTCTGCATACAACTGGACAGTCCTTAAATTATTTCTTTAAAGTTGGTTAATGAATTGAAAGGATTGAATTTTATTGTTTTCTTAATATGCTCGGAGTGAATTTTCCTTCTCAAATGGGATTGATACCACTTCGTATCCATAAGCCATCCCATTTTTTGTTGCTTTTTTTGTTGGCATACATTAATCAAAAATAGCTCTTTCAATGAGGCATGCAGTCCTCAGAGTTTGTGGAAAGGACCTTATGCTCTGAGTGACCATAATACTTTTTATATCAAAGAATAGCTGCTGGATTTCATTGTCTTTAGTAATAGAAAATACAAAATCAGACCGCTTGCTTTGCTCTATTCCTGTCAACAAAAAGGATTTTGCTATAGATGTAGCTTCTCTTTTTCTTTTCCTTCTCATTTTAACAGCACCTTTCTATTTATCCTTTTCAGACGCCTCCTTGGCATTATAACAAAAAAAGATATCCTCCGTCATATGGCCCAGACGGCAAACCAAGACCCCGCTTCAATAATGTTCAACTGAACCTCGTAGATGAGGAGAGAGAAGAAACAGAAGAGGAAGTTCATTTGTTGAATAGCACAACTCTTTAATATGGGGGAGTCGTCCACATTTTTTTCTTCTTAAAAAAAAAAGGAGATATGAAGGCAGAGCATTTGCAACATGGGTTTGCAAATAATGCTGGTGGAATGAATTGTCTCAGGAGGGAAAGGAGAAGGAAAGGAATAAGGTATTTCCCTGTCTAACAGAGATGAGCAAACCGCCTTCTGTTGTTCTGCAACTGGATGTGTTCACAGACAACGTGCCGTGATGGTGCAGGCCTGAGCCTCAATGGAGATGAATGACCTCAAAATTCACGAGCACCTGGCCTGTTAATCCAACATCTTAAAGACACGTTCTCAGTCCCTGTTTCTGGAGGGATTCCTTTGAATTGAGCCATCAGTAAGACTGCAAGGTCTTGCCCCTCTTTTTTTTTTTAAATCTGAACTGTTCTGTTTAATTCATGAATTCTGTAGTTAAGCATTACCTTTCTACATTCCAGAAGAGCTTTTATTTCTCTCTCTCTCTTTCTCTCCTGAGCTATAACAAAGCCTTTTGAATTGGTGTACCCTTTTGAAGCAGTCCTTTCTCATATTGAGATGTACTGTGATTTTACAGAGGTTTCATCACAAGAAGGGTGTGTTTCTTGTGCCATTAACCATGTAGTTTATACCATCACTAAAGGCTTGGAACAGCACACACACCACATCAAAGGCTGGCCAAACAGGTAAAATCTTGAATGAAGTGTGAATGAAATCTCCCAGTTAGTAGGCTTTGTGATTCAGAATCAAAAACTTTGACTTTAAAGGATAAACAGTCTTATTTTTTTCCTTACAGACTTATGGAAAATGTGACCTGGTCTTATGCAAATTTTCTATTTCTAAAACTACTACTATGGTATAGAAGTGCTGTTCAGCATAATTAAACAATGCTGCTGCTGTGACAGTAAAGAGAAGGAAGTGTTCTGTTTAGCTGTATCTGGTATTAAATGCATGATAAAACACTGGAATTTTTTTCTTGGAATTAGATAAGTCATTTTCTTTCCTCAAGATGCATTGCTGACACTGAAGATGAATTGTAATTCATAACTTGCACTAAATGTATATTTCTTTTCTTAAAATTTACCATTCTTATTTATATTTTTATGGATTAAAATTTATAAAATACAGATCAGTTAATATCGCACTTAAATAATTTTACCTTTTTAATGTGATTTTTATATACTAATTCAGACTTACAAATATGGAGATATGAACAAAGTTTACAATGGAAGCAAGTGTTTAGAAGAGGTGGTTACTTTTTGGTGATCTAGTGTGTACAAAATCTTTATCTGATCTCTCACTGCCATTTCCTGGATTGTCCTCTGACCTGTCCATTTTGGCCTACAAACTAGAAAGTTGAAAACACCACAAATTACTCAATAGACTAAAACCCAAAAGTTAATGTTTAAAGTTTTTCTAGAAAACAAAACAAAAAAGAAAGAAAATAAATCGCAAAGGTAGTACTTAAAATTCTCATCTCACTATAACTTTTCATCTCTGGGTAAATCATACTCATTTTTGGAAGTGTTCCGTGGTGGTTTGAGTAGCTACATTGCACATTTCTGTAGAGTCAGTTAAAATGTACTAGTTGCGTTTAGAATGTTTTGGTTTTCGAATCATGGTACTTCACTATTGGCAAGGGCAGTTACTCTAAGGACTGGCCTAAATATCCTGATTGTGCATTTTTGATAGGCAAATGAATTTTTGCAGACAGACATTTTCTGAAACATCACTGGCAATGAGCCATTTTTACATTTTGAAAGATGCTTCACTTCCTAGTTAATAATAATATGCCTGTAGCATCTGCAAAACCACGTAAGATCTGTGTGATCTTGAAGACTTAAGATCATGAAGCCATATTAGTGATTGAAAGTTGAGCAAAATTTTAGGAATTTTGTGAAACATTCTTACCTGTGCTATCTGCCAAAAATTATTATCCTCATTATTTACTATTTTGGGCAGATTTCAAGTATTTGTCACAGGCCTCTCAAAGTTCTTTTGGATATCCAGAGTGAAGATTTCTAAATGACAGTTCTGTGTTTCTTCCACTTTTATTTGTAAAGCATTGCTAGACTATGAACTAACTCCTTAGCATGGCTGACAGAAAACTATCTGGAATTTTAAGCCTTCAAAGGAGAAACCAGTGTTTTTGCAAATAGTTGCATACATAAAATACATATGGATTTTTCTCCAAAATTTTCTTTTTAAATTCAGACCTTAATTTCATTGCCCATTTTTCATCAGAGATTGACATTTCAGGGTCAATATTAAAGCATAAATTTTCTTTGGTATATTTCTATTTCTGAGATGTCTTACTGCTGAAATACAGGAAAAGTGCCGTATTTTTAATGCATTCTGAGGTTTTCTTTCATACTACCATCTGTTTCATTCTTCCTTTTGATATATTGAGGTTTGTCTGCTTTTCAACCAAATGAACTAGTGGAGACCATAAAAATACATGTGCCTAGCTAATTGGCAAACTAATTGACCAATATAATAAACGTAGCGCCTTATTTGAGTACCCTCTTTGAGAAGGTATGATGAGAATGGGCAAGAGTGTCAGCATTTCTTCCTCTTAATAATTGTTTTCAGTTTTGGTTCATGAAGAATGTTTAGTTTGTTAATCTGTGATGTTGCCTAGAGCTGTATTTATCTGTTTTTATTTATACTAGTGTAGTAAAGCTGCATATCATTACAGTAAAAGTGATTACTGTGATGAGTTAATCAAAAAATCTATTAAAATCTATATGATGATGTGTGGTTTGGCCTTTAATTAACCTGTAACAGCCCTCCCCCCGTACTGCTGGCTGCACTAGCCAACAGTGTAGGCCAATATGCCTGACACGCACAGCCAGTCTCAAAAAGGTGATCATTATAATGTGCTTCTCAGGTTAGAAAGCCATTTTCTGTGCTTTATTTAAAAAAAAAAATAAGACAAAAACAAGAATCCTGAGAAGAGCAGATCCTGTGTAGAACAGCAAGTTGTCCGTGCATGTTAACAATATGCTTTTGTAACCTGTGTCAGTGGAAGGTTTGTCTGCAAAGTTATTTCAGTTTGTTCACTTTCAAAAGTGTCATTTTAAAAGAGAAAAACGTGCACAGAGAGAGCAGGTTAAATGATTTACCTGCTATAAAAAAATTACCTTGGCAGTTTTCTAATAGAACCTCAAGAAAGGGTGATAAACGGAACATTTGAATAAAATTTCAGTCTTAATATTAAATGTTCCATGAGGAAAACACTAAAAATCTAGGGTAGATCTTTGTTCATTTGTTGAGTGTTTGTTGAACTTACTGGGTGTTAGGCACTAAATGCAATGTTTTTAAAATGTACAGCTGCTTGATTCTGAGAACATTCAGCTAAGGAGTGGGCAAGTTTTAGAATGTAGGGATGATTAGGATGATTTTAATGGGAAAGTGAACCTAGTTTGAGTGCAGAAGCAAGAATGGAATGAACAGAAGGGGCTGCTAGTAAAAGAAGATGGAAAGACAAGTGATATTTAGAATGCTTGTAGCTTAGGTTAGGGAGGTTTTCCTTATTGACACCAACTAGTCAAGATCATTGGAAATGAAGGAACTGAGGTAAGGGTATTGGATTACCCATCAATATTAAGCAAGAATTTAGATAGGAATAGTTTGACATTGAGCCAGTACAGTCTGTTGGAGCTAGTGTGAGGGACTTAGGCCCTTGCTGAGTAGTTTATAAAGCAGCATCTCACTGATTTTTTTTATAAGCTTTCATTTTTCCCTGGGTGTTTCAGCCTAGCATACAAATCCACGAGTCTTATCTCCATTTAACCGGCAAAAAGCTGGAACTGTAGTTCAGAGTGTCAGCTGTGAGTGAAAAAGCTGACTTCCTGAGTTAGGAGGTTTTGAGTTTCAACCCCCAGAACTGTGTGCGTAAAATCCTCCCCCCTCCCACAAAAGCTTGTAGCCTAACTGGGGCGATAAGACTTCATTGTATTTACCACATTATTTTAAAAAGTAAATCTGTTTTAGAGCGCCAGCTAGAAGAACTCTGGAAAACCACTGACCATTCAACAAAAGTTCTTTGGGTAATCTATGCGGGTTAAATCAGATAACTTTATATGCAGAGGCTCTTTTGCATGATCCACCAAATTTTGTATGTCATTGTTTGCACTTAGCATTTAAGGCTAAAGATTCTTGTCAGGTTTAAGGAATAAATCACAGCTACCCACTGGTTTGTATCAAAAATGAATTTCAGTGGAAAACTAGAACCTATATGATATATAATACCACTTACTATATTAATATACCTATGTTCTGGTCATTGTTAAATCAGACTCAATTCTAAAGGAAGGAATGTCTTAAGGACTGGACTGGTAACTGGGAGACTATGTATGAGTTACTTGGAAATAACTAAAATGCACATTGGTAGGCCTGGGATCATCTACACTAGCCATGGTTATAACATGAGTTTCCATGTAAACTTACCTCTCCTGTGTCCCTGTCTATATACCACTATAATTCCAGCCCTTAAAGGAACAGCTGTATTAATTCAAGACTTACTGTATTATTCATACAGTAAATTGAGCTTCCCATTAGTCAGTCATGGGACCAGAATTTTAGAATATTTTCATAGATCTATTTCACTAGTTGAGCATCCCTTATCCCAAAACTACAATGCTTCAAAATTCAAAACTTCTCAGCATCATGTCAGTCCTCAAAGATTTTTGACTTGAGAATTCTGGATTAGTAATACTCAACTCAGATTGTAACAGAGGACACCCTGAAAGTAGGTAACTGTCTAGTTCTTCAAATCCACTAGACAGTGACTACCTATAACATGCAGTGTCTTCCAAAATGTCAGGTGTCACCAATCAGGTAAGTTCACTTTATTGTACGCAAAGGAAGTCCAGAATAGCCTGTCAGTTTTTAGTAAATGTTTCCGTTTTTCCATTTATTTTCCGTGTTCCTTAAAAACAACCCCCCGTAAGTCTGATATGGCATTTAAAAATAATATACACCAAACAGAACAAACCCTCATTTATCCTGCAAGTTGGTCTATGTTCTCTTTATTTCTGTTTGCCAGATGATCTTCAATAATTTCTGCAAACAGATTCCTCTTCAACAGATTATATGCAAGAGGTAAAAGTTGGCCAGCAACTTTATGAAAATACTGAAAGACAAAAGAATATAACATTAAACAGGAAAGGGCAGATGCCCTATGTGTTAGGAAAAAATACAATGAAATGGTCCATTTTTACGAAGCCTACTTTCCAAGATCATGTTAACTACTTTTTCAACTGACAAACTGACTTTGGCACAGGTACTTGGTATTCTGTTCAAGAGGGAATCGTGCATATCTCTAAAAGACTAATGGAAATACCTTGAAGGAAATCTAGAAGAAAAATATTTAAGTTCTCATCTCAAATTTTATCAACTTGTTAAAAAAAGTCTTCAACTATGCCCTCATTATCTTTTCAGCATATTCTTACTAGTTAGACATTAAGCTTTATTCTTTGAAATGCTAAATGTCACTGTCACTCTCCTGTGTTTTATTTCCTTCTTCCCCTACCACAGAAACATTACCTGTTAAGAGTTACCCCCAGGCTTATTGAATGGTTTTACAGTGCTATTGCATACATGCATAGTATATAGTAATTAGCAATACAACATTCTCAGTAACAGTAAACATTCAGCATTTAGCGTGGTTAAGTGCTGTGCTTTAAGTCTATTCAATACTTATATAAAATTCTCAAGTTTCCTATTTAGCTGGTTTATTCTACTATTTGTGAGCAGATTAAGCACTTTGCAGATTGCTGTCATTCTGGCTATTAGACTTTTATTTTACTGGTAGAAACCATGTATGAGGCAAGCAGAGAAAGGCAGGGCAGTAGGATTATGATAGGGTTCAGAAAATGTGTTCTTCTGACCAGTAGCATCACCTGGTAAACTAAGAAATGCAAATTCTCAAGACCCACTCAGAGCTCTCAGTGGGATGAAAGGCAGGAGAACATGGGGAACCCATGTTGGAACAGTTGTTGATGATTTTGGTGCCTGCTAGAGTTAGCTCTACTGGATTACTCTTGCTCCTCAGTGTGGTCTGCAGTCACCATCACCTGGGAGCACATCAGAAATGCCAAGTGTCAGATGTCAGACCCAAGAAATAATTTGTTTTTTACCTAGAAGCAAGTCATTCCTAAGCACTTTACAGTTTATAGAGATTTTTTTTTGGGGGGGGGGGGGTATCCAGTCGTGGGGCCTGAACTCTGAGCCTGGGCGCTGTCCCTCAGCTCTTCAGCTCAAGGGTAGTGCTCTACCACTTGAGCCACTTCCGGCTTTTTTCTTTTTTTTTGCTTATGTGGTGCTGAGGAACCGAGGGCCAAATGCAAGGCAAGCGCTCTACCACTGAGCCATCTTCCCAGCCCCCAGTTTATAGAGATTTGAGTCTAGAATCAAATTGCCTTTGTGAACTTGGGTAAGATGTTCTGCCTCTTTGTGATCCAGTTGTAAAGTAGCTTAAATGAGAAATAGTACGTGCAAGTGTGGATATGGGCAGATATTTTATAGGTAAAAAAATAGATACAAAAATATTAGAAAAGTTACACAAGTGGGGAAGATAAGATTTTAAGACCAGCCTCACTCCATCCAGAAGCATGTTACAGTACTCAGGCAGCTGATGTTTCTCTTTAATGAGGAAAATAATGGTCGACTATCATCCTACATAAACATATACATATTATTCCCTCCCCCTCTCCTGCCAATACCAAGGTGTGACCTTAGGGCCTTGTGCTTGCTTAGGTTTGCTTCTTGATTGGCTCTGGGTCACTGAAGCCAGTACTTCCAGTTCAACTCTTTGCTAGTTTGGAGATGGAGTCTTTACAGATTTTTCCCAGGCTGGCTTCAGACCAGTCCTCCAGAGTTCAGCCTGAGTGGCTAGGATTAAAGGTCTAAACCACCAGTGCCTGAGTAAGGCACTCCAGCTCTATGGGGTGGCAAAAAGTTGGAAGATTGACGTCCAGGCTGACCCAGGCAAGAAAACAGACTACCCCAAAATAATTAAATTTGAAAGGGCTGTGAGTATGGCTCCAGTGGCAGAGAACTTGCCTAACAGTACAAAGTCCTGAATTCAACCCCAAATAAAAAAAAAAAAAAAAAACATGCTCACTCACATTACAAATGACATACTCATATCATTTGTCTAACGGGTAAATATACTTTAAAACTGTAGGAAATAATCTTGGCTATTCACCTTTACTAGATTTCAAATGTATTAGGTGGTTCAATATACCAAATGTATCCATATACCAAATGCATTGTATTTCCAAATACAAATGTGTGTGCATTTGCAGCAGCAGGTGGGTAGCAGTTTTACTCACATGTGAACCATAGCAAAAGAGGTCCATTCCCAATTCAAGCCCCATGCCATAATCACATTCATCATTAGCAAACTGTACAAAGGTCATCATTTCCTGAATAGGAGCAAATGCCTTTAGTCTCTCCTCATCATTTGCAGCCTCAACAATTGTCTTGCAAATTCTCTTAAGGTCAGCTGAAAGAAATCAATGATATAAAGGGGTCATCCATTGTAATGGGGGGGGGAGGTTGTTTTGTTTTATTTTGTTGGTCTTTTTTTTGCCAGTCCTGGGGCTTGAATTCAGGGTTCTAAGCATAGTCCGAGTTTTTTATCCTAAGGCTAGCACTCTTCAACACTTGAGCCACAGCTCTACTTCTAGATTTTTTTTTTTTCTCGGTAGTCAACTAGAAATAGTCTCATGGACTTTCCTTAGTGGGC